AGCCTAGTTTTTCACCCTTTTTTTTAGGCTGAAAAAGCTCCCCTCGGTTTATACTCTAGTCAAGGTTATTTATTATTTTACTGTTATTTGTATTATATTTATTATTTTACTCTATTATTGTTGCATTTATTATTTATTTTTTTCTTTATTAATATTATATTTATTATTTTACTCTATTATTATTACATTTATTATTTATTATTTTTTCTTTATTAATATTATATTTATTATTTTACTCTATTATTATTACATTTATTATTTTACTCTATTATTATTGTCAGCACATTTACATTGAAGAAAGTTAGAATAATGGTTTAATCAGAGTTGGATATTATCTTAGAGTTTTATGTAAATATTAAAAAAACATTTAACCTACTGATGCCTCAATTAATGTAATTTTATTTGTATCAGTTTTGATTTTGAAATTTACCGCTAGCTGCTGCGTTTCTCACCCTTGGCTTATACTTGAGTCAATACATTTTCCCAGTGTTGTGTGATAAAGTTAGGTGCCTCAGCTTATATTCGGGTCATTTATACTTGAGTATATACGGTGTGTGTGTGTATGTGTATGTATGTATGTGCATGGAGTTACGAGTTACACTTAAATGTATATGTTCTGAATTACATACATATTCAACTTAAGAACAAATCTACAGAAGCTATTTAGTCAGTAACATGGGGACTGCCTGTATATTCAAAATAGAGGGTTTGCTGCTATCCATCCATAGGGTGGTGGTCTTGGAACATAATCCCTACAGGTACAGTGGCTATACTGAATTGGTTGAGTCAAGCTGGAAACTTTAGCAATTGTACTCCTCCCCTCAAAATCCTTACGGTTGTATATTCCAGTTACCAGCAACATTTCATTCCGTTTATATTGAATTACTCCATTAAATTTCAGTACTTATTATTGCATTCAGAAAGGCTTTAAAGAACATAATTTTTATAATGATCTTGTATTTTTTGAACCAAAGTCTGTGTTTATGTTAATTTTATTTCATCTTAATTATACATTTGAGGCCAGGCAATAAATAATTGCAAGGGGCAAAATAGGTTCAAGGACAAGTGTTTGCAAATGGCAAAATCAAATTCAAGTCTATCTTCAGTAAGTTATTATTTAATTATTAGGGCCTAATAGTAAGCACTTCACTGCTGTATAGGCAGGTTTTTTTATTTTTAAAAAAGAAGTATTCAGAACTCTCTTCTTTGAATACCAACATGCTTGTTAAATACTATTTTCCTGTCGTAGTCACTGTGAATCATACATTTGGTATTTGCGCTTGCGCAATGCAGCTTTCAGAACCTTCTAGAAGAAAAGTAACACTTTAAGGCCCCAGCTATACCCGCCCATCTCCCCCGAGTATAAATAGCCCATGGGCGGGGCTAGCCGACAGTTCTCTTTTCCGCGCTCTTGCTAGCAGCTTGAGAACCTTTCTCTTCTTCCTCGCGAGCTATCTCTCAACGTTTTTGGCTTTTGACTGGACTGTTATCGGATAAAGGTATTGCTTAACCCCTGGACTCTGTTGCTTATCTGTGCTTTGACCTGGACTGTTTGACAACTCCAAATTGGTTATCTGACGAACCTCTGGCCTACTGTCATGGCGACGACCTCCTTTAAGAGGTGCTCAAATTGCCCAAACACCTTTCCTGATACGGATGGGCACTCTCTCTGTTTGGCCTGCCTGGGAGAGGGCCACCTTGCTCAATCTTGTTCAGTCTGCCTGGCCTTCACCTTGCAGACTAGGAAAAACAGAGAGGTTTGTCTCAAGGCGGCCCTTTACGAGAGGGCCCTCTTACCTCCAGCTCCGCCTGCCCAAAGGGCCTCGTCCGCTGCGCCTGCCGTGCCCCTCCTGAGCCATTGTGACGATCTGGCTAGAAAAAAGCCCAAGAAGCTGAAGGAAAATGGCTCAAAAGATGGCTGCCGGACAACCACAGCGAAAAAAGCGGCACCTAAAAGGGCGGGAAACCCTCCTTCCTCCGCCGTTTCTGCTCCCCCTCCCTTTCAGCGGGGACACAAGGAGAGCAGGTGCGCCCTCTAGCGGCGAGTACTGTGCCGGCTGGAAGAGCCTCAGTAACTCTGACCTGAGCGCCGCAACCGGGACGAGGGGAGCTGGGTCTTGCCTCTCCCCTGACCCCGGTGATGCCCATTCTGTCCCCTCCTGATCGAGGAGGACCTAGTGAAGCCTTCCTTGGGGACCCAGCGCCTGCCCAGGAGACCACGGCGGCGGCGCCTGCCCATGGGCTATTTATACTCAGGGGAGATGGGCGGGTCTAGCTGGGGCCTTAAAGTGTTACTTTTCTTCTAGAAGGTTCCGAAAGCAGCATTGCGCAAGCGCAAATACCAAATGCATGAATTCACAGGTGACTACTCAGGAAACTACAGTTACAGGTAAGCAACTTATAATTCCTCAAGTCCACAATGTTAAAATCTCTGTGAAATAGTAAGTGAGAAAGTCAGAGTAAAGAAATTGTAATACTTTTTAATGTGTTCTTTGTTTGCTGAAGAGACAATAGCCAAGATTTCTTGCTCTCTGAAGGGCTAGTGTTATCAAATATCAAAATTGGTAGACATCTTCACTAAAAGATGTTGGTTTGTTGAAACAAGTATTTCCCCTATATTGTTATATCAGCTACAAATAAAGGCCATGATTATCATCCAGAAATTTATTTATTTATTTATTTATTTACTGCACTTGTAGACCGCCGTTCTCAGCCCTAGGGCGACTCACGGCGGTGTACAACATGTAAAATCAGGTACAATTTACAACATAAGCAATATCACAACAACATTAAACAATTGCATGAATATGCATTAAACAATTGCAAGAAATGCATGAATATGCCCAGTGAAGTCATATTAACTTCTCAGAACATATGTATAAGATTGTATTTCAATTTTTATTTAACATTGAAAACGGAAAACTGGAGGATTAACGATTTACTAAATTATTATGCCTTGTCAGAACTGAGAGTCAAGAATCTGCTAAGAACACAAATTCTACTATTGACATTCTCTCTTAAGACTGCTTTAGTAAAAATAAGGTAGTGCATGCCATGAGCCAATATTCAAAAAGCTTCTTTTCAAAGCATTTTAACTACCTGACAGCCAGATACTCATATTACACCTACCTGATAGACTGTTATACTGCAAAAATAAACCAATTGTATAGTGTTTATAAATTAACTATGGGTGCTCTGTTAAACTCAAATATTTGAATGTATTGTCCTTGTAATTCTATTTCTGTGTGATTCTTCTGTTCCTTTATTCTTTTAATTGTTTGCATAGGAATATTATGGCAGTTGTCTGTATTTTGGCTTATTTAAGTTTATAAATGGCCCTGTCTTGAAGGGCTAGAGTAAGTAGAGTTTAATACAATCTTTTGAATCCATTCAAACCAACCATTTAAATCATCTCTCATATTAAATCTACAAGATACACATCAGCATAATTTTGATTCCCAATGTCCAGCTCAAAATTTAAAAGCCTTGGAATACTGCCCAGGTTCTTGTTTGGAATATAGCACATGGAATCTTCCTGTTAAGTGGGTGCTTTTATTTAAATATATGAACTGTCTCTCTTTCTACTGATCTTGGAAATTATTATTCATGTAGGGATCTCCTGTATATATACAGACACTCCTCTAGAGTTAGGGGTGTAGTTCCTCTGCAAATGTCGGGAAAGTGCAAATTAAAACATCGCTATTTTTAAAGGTGAGGGGGCACCTTTCTAGGAGTGTCTAGATGAGGCATGGGCAAACTTTTTTATCTTGGGGCTGCATTGCGGGCTGGTCCAGGCCGGGGGGGGGGAGCACACGCTGGGTGGGGTGGGCCTAGGAAGGGGCGGGCCCAGAAGAGGGCAGGACCAGGAGGGGGCAGGGCAGGGCCTGGGTCATTCCCAGGTTGTCTTTCTGGCATAAGGATGGGCTGCTCACCCCATCCTTAATGTTGGGAGAAAGGCAAGATATGTGACGACTGTCCTAATCCTCCTCTCAATCCTTCTCTCCCAGTTCTTGGGCTGTCCTCTTGGCATTATTCCAGGAGGAGGGTGAGATAGGTGGTGGCTGAGAGGGCTCTCAGCTGCAGAATATCTTCCTCAAGCCGTCCTCCTGGCATAAGGATGAGGCTGCTCTCATCATTCTTATGCCAGGAGGAGGGTAAGACACACAGTTGCTAGGAGCGCTCCAGAGGGCTCTCAGCTGCTGCATGCCGTCCCCTCCTTGTCTTTTCCCTTGTCATAAAGATGCAGCGGGCCACCTTGTCCTTATGCCAAGAGGATAAGGAAAACGAGGAAGGCCACATGTAATTACCAAGGGGGCCGCATTTGACCCCTGGGCCTTAGTTTGCTCATGCTTGGTCTGAATTCTCAAGTAAAACTCTGTAGTCAGTTTCTTGTAGAGTTTAATCTATAGGTACTTTAAAACATTTCTCTGTAGGAATCTGTAGGTCCTCCAGATTTACTGTATTTATTTACTGCATTTATATCCCACCCTTCTCACCCCAAAGGGCCTCAGGGCAGCTAATTTTTCACAGAAGTTGCTGGAGAGCCTAGGGATTCCTGGACATAATGTATTATTTTTCTAAAGGTAAAACTCAGAACTGTGGAGGAATAATTATAAATATGACATGTAATAACATGTTTCCCATATAGATATATAAATAAAATATGAACTGTTACAAAATTAAATTTGGACTATCGCGGATTTGGACAGTAGATTCCAACATTTGTAGCCTTCAACTTAAATTATTTTTTTCTTAGTGTGTATATATACAATAGAAGGCACAACCATTTGTGGTAGAACATTTTGAAAGTGCTGCAAAGAGAAGAGCACATCTATCAAGGAAATTGCCTGTCAGTGAAATACCACTCCTATAATGTCATCCTTGAAGAAAGCAATTTTGAGGGCATAGAAGGTTATAGTCGTACAAAGAAGTTCTGGTAAGGGGAGGACAGGGTTTTTCAATATAGGCAGGCTAATCTGTGCCCCTTTCTTTTAAAACAGGCACTACTTTGCATTGCCCATTAACCCTGGTGAACAGTTTTACATGTTCTGCACTCTTGCTGCCTGGCTGATTAATAAAGCAGGGCATCCTTTTGAACAACCGCAAGAATATGACGACCCAAATGCAACAATATCCAGCATACTCTCTGAGCTGCGGTCATTTGTAAGTGCATTGTTTTGCTTAATACCATGTTTCATCAATTCTGCATGCATGCTGATTACTTCTGTTTTTATCTTTCAGCAGATTACTTAAGAGAAAATTGCTAAATGTTAGTTTTTTTGTGGCTTTTTTTCCTAGGCAGAGCCCCAGGGATGAGAATTTATTTTTCACATAGTTTTTTTTTTAAGTTAGACCCTGTAATAAAGTTATAATGTTATATTGTTACATACAGATACATAAATTTATATCATGTAAACAAAACTAAGAAGGACAATGTTATTCTAAAGATGGAAAATCTGAAAATATTTTCCTCTGAATTAGATAGTGAGCAAGCCTGCTTTCAAGTCTTGATTAAAATTGGTTAATAATACTGCAGGTTGTTGCCAAATACATTTGCATTGGAGTTAATCCAGTGGTTGCTAGTTGACCATCCTCTATGTAAGATGTGATCCTCAAAGCTGCTGAGGTTGGAATTCTACACACATTTACCTCAGAGTATATAAGCATGCCCATACTGGGTTAGAAGAAACCTCTGTCAAATTCCAGATTTCAGACAGATCCCTGTGGCAAAGGGTAGGAGGAATCAACTTTCTGGAGCCGGTTTTTGCCCCCAAGACATTCAATATGGTGCTCAAAGCTGAAAGAGTTTTAAAAATAATTGGAGCTGGAGGGGCCCCCAAACTCAAGGGATATGAGCATTTATTTTCCTTTAAACTGTTAGGTAGAAATAATTTTGCCCACTGGCAAGGGGTGGAGACTGTAGAAGCTGCCTTGGGAGCTGCATTTGGCCCATACATTTGCTCACCCCGGGAAGCTCATAAGCAAGACACTCATATCTTCCAGCAACCAGTATAGGGAGGTATACATACAGCTATTGTGACAAGTCGCCACAGTTCCCTCCATGATGTTATTGAGTTAATGTGTGTTCACATCTAGTAGACATGTAATTGGACTATATATTTATCAGTACAACTAAACTGATTTATGTGCTTTGCAGCTAGCACTCCATTTCTCATGTTTTCACTTATCGCAGAACTATTAGGGCCATTGTGTTTTCGATGACTGAAGATCTAGAGAATATAATGAATGGAGGAGAAAGAGTAGGAGAAAATAAAGCTGTTTTGAAGATCGGATGGAAATGAAAGCACACTTGAAATGCTGGTTTAGTGTGGTTGATTGTAAAGACTATATGAAGATGTTTCTTTCTTGTTTGGAAAAATGGTGCTTGTGTATATATATCCTAGTATACATTAAAATGTTGTAGACATTTGCTTGCAAAATAGGCTTCTCCACCTTTCTGCTTCTATAGCAAGGTAGGAGGAATAATGCCTATATATTTGAATAGTTGTGTAAAAGCAACCTCTAAAATCAGAGATAGCCATAACTATAGTCTGTCAGTTTAGGCTTCAGCCAAGATATTGCAAACTTTATTAGTTTTTTGTAGTTGTAACAGAAATTCTAGCTCTATTTTGCATTTTTACTGCAGCTTTGGATTCTGGTTTGTTAGCCAGCCATTCTCAGACCACGATTTCTCAACTTTGACATCATGCCAAATCACTGCTTTATGTGCTGTCTGAATTGAGCCTGTGTGATGACAGGTACCGCAGGAAGTGTGTCCACTAACCTTCTAAAAGAGATTACTGTTTCAATAATTCAAGGAAATAAAAGTGAAATTGAGTGAGCAGCAGCCTAAATAGTGTGCTTATGAACTATTGCCAGGAAAAGCTCTCTTAAAAGCTAAGGCGAAACTATGATATGTCTTGGCTGTCACATTCATGTTTGGGCACTACATCAGGTAACAAACTAAAATGTAAACTGCTATGAATCATGAACTTGATGGTCACAGTTCTGTTTGCATATGTATTTGCATCTCTTGATGTGTCATCACTTGATATTTACAGCTTAGTCTTTGAACCTGAAACTATTTGAATTAATGTGAGTTGATATGTAAATCATATTCATGGTGTTTATCTTTAGGGACCATTTACATATGCATTCTTCATATGAACCCACGTGTGCACTAGACCTCAATAAAAGAAAATGTAGCTAAAATGTAATTATGTTGTTTCATCATTAATTATATATTACTCTCTTTTAGGGAAGATCTGTGGATTTTCCTCCTTCAAAGTTAAAAGCAGGCTATGGAGAGCAAGCATGCTATGTTCTTGATTGTTTAGCAGAAGAAGCTTTGAAATTTACATCCTTTGCATGGAAAAGGTATTACAGTTCAGCCAGATTGTTTCTTTTCCTCTTCCTTGTGTTTTAGACAATTGAGATGCTAACATTAGAAAACAAGAAAACGATAACGATATAATAGGCTAAAAACCAATATTGTTATGTAACTTTCTCTTGTCTGACATAGAGAAGATCTATACAGGTTCAGTTTGGATTTCCATGAGTTCCCAGTCATATATTAATCATGCCAGTTATTAATCATGTTTTTCATGAACATGCCTCTGTTATGTATATATTGTTCTAGATCTAGAATAAGTGTCTCAATAGTTCGTCACCAGGAAATTGGCATGGTCTATCTATCACCCATAGGTTATTTAACAGTTGCATAGAATATGATTGTACAAAAATCAGAGGAGCCATTCTTTTTCTATAATCAGACTCAGTTACCTTTTCTTCCAAGGGTCTCCAACTAGAATATATAGGTTTACCCATTTCCTTGCCTCAGCCATCTGAGGTAGGATAGAATTGAGGCAGAGTAATTGCCTAAAGGTCATTTTTTGAAGACACTGAATAAAGATTTGAATTTGGGTTTCCTTTCTTCAAGGTCCACACTTGAGCCACTGCCCTGAAAAGTAGTACATAGTGCCTTTGTTATCACAGGGACTGTTGTACAAAAATGATTAAGAAAATGAACTATGTACCCTAATTTGAAATCTCTTCCTAGCTGTTCATCAAATGCCTTTCTACAGGGGCCAGGTATAATCAGAGTGAGCTATCTCATCAAAGTGTGTCCCAAAATCTATGGAACTAAAGTACTGTGGGAGGAGTGGCTAGCAAAATTGCATATGCCCTTTTCGCTGTTTATTTGTACTACTTTTCCATGGTGGTGGGATTATTAACTCATGAGAGGCAAGATGCTAGGCTGAGAATAGCAGTGCTGCTGGCTGGATATTTTGCTGAAGAGCTAGAACAAATGTGCTTAACAGCTACTGGGCAGCAGCAGTGGTAGGGTATGACACCTGCAGTGGATAATTTAGAGAGATTGTGCAGACAAAGGCATAGTAAATCCTTTTGAATGTTTTTACCATGAAATCCCTATAGTGAGGAAGTCCAAAATGAAACAAGAGAGAGTTCTAGAAGATAACACCCCCAGGTCAGATGGCAAGCAACTGGGGTATAGTAGAGAACAAGTAGTACGGCAGTTAAATACAAAACTAGATTCAATCCAAAGGATGTTCAGCTGTTGAAGGGTTCAGAAAGGAAGGGAAACCAGCACAATACATATTATGGGAATGTGGAATGCGAGAAACATGAATTGGAGAAGCTAGGCACAATAAAACAAGAAATAGAATATATAAGCATCTCAATACTTAGGGTGAGCAAGCTAAATTAAACATTTTAGTAAGATAATTGCTGTGTTATTAAGGAAATTAAAATCTACAAAGAAATAGATTACAAATGAAACCATTTAAGCTGTTAAGGACAAATGAGAAGGAAAAGTAAAAAGCGTTAAGGATAGATGAGAAGGAAAAGTAAAAAGTGAGTTTCCCCCTCGGGGGTTGAGAAGGGCAGAGTAGAAATGTTGTAAATAAATAAATAAATAAATAAAGGTGACAGAAATACGATCAGAACCCTGAATGCAATTGTTTAGCAACGTGTGTGCAGGGGCATGGAGAACTACTCTAGTAATCAATATAGAGAAATAGAGAATGACAACCAGTAAGGAAGACCAAGAGACCTCTTTCACAAAATCCGAGAAATCAAAGGGAAATTTAAATTAAGAGGGGAGGTACTCTCCAATCAGCAAGGGAACACCATTTAAAAAATTTAAAAGACAGTGGAAACAATACATGGAAGAGCTATATAAAAGAGATGAAAGAATGGCAGATTCATTCATTGAAGAACCATTTGAAGATGAACATACAATTCAAAATGTGAAGTGGAAGCTGCACTCGGAGCACTGGGGAGAAATAAATCACCTGTGGTGGAGGCTCCTTCTTTGGAGGCTAGAAGGCCATCGGTTGGGGGTGCTTTGAATGCGATTTTCCTGCTTCTTGTCAGGGGGTTGGACTGGATGGCCCATGAGGTCTCTTCCAACTCTATGATTCTATGATGGCATCCTAATAAAGCTGCTTTAAGCTACAGAGACAACCTACACTAGTTCTAACTAAAATCTGTCAACAAATACGGAATACAAAATAATGGCCCATAGATTGGTAATGTTAAATATACATTCTAACCTCTCCCCCCCCCCCCCCAAAAAAAAGGGGGGACCTTGGGAAATGCAATTACAACAGGGACATTTTGTTAATCTCCCATGTAAGCAGAGTGGTGCTCAAAATTCCACATCCAAGACAACAAACTTTTGATTGTGTAAATCATGGTAAATAAAATAGTTGTGCAACATTTGATTGCCCGGGTGCATAACCTGTACTCAAGGCAAGGGGACAGAATACAGAGAAACAGCATGGCTTGCAATTGGCAAGGGGTCAGGCAAGTAAGCATTTTATCACCCCATCTATTTCACTTGAAAACTGAACATATCACAAGTAAAGCAGGATTTGACTTGAAGGCAGAAGGCATGCAAATTGGAAGAAATAACATCAACAGATGACACCATACAACTAACATAAAATAGCAAATACTTGGGACAATTGCTGAAGAAAGTTATTGAAGAAAGTCCACAGGCAAGTTTATAGTTGTACATAAAAAAGAAAAATAATAATAACCACAGATGATTTACATAACTTTGAAGTAGACAATGAAGGCATGGAAGTAATTCAAGATTTCCCATGCCTTGATTCAGTCATTAATCATAACAGAGTGTGTAGTCAAGAAATCAGAAAGGAAGCTGTAAAGGAACTAGACAAAATCCTGAAGTGTAAAGATACATCATTGAATACTAACATTAGAATTTTCCATGCCATGGTATTTCCAATTTCTGTGTATGGTTGTGAATGGTGGATAGTGAAGAAAGCTAATAGGAAATAAATACATTTATTTGAAATGTCTTGCTGAAGAAGAGTTCTGCAGATACTGTGGACTGTAAAAAAGACAAAGCAGTGGGTCATAGAGTAAATCAAACCTAAACTTTCTCTAAAAGCCAAGATGACTCAATTGAGGTTGTTGTAGGTTGTTGTGGGAAGACATGATTTACTAGAAAAGACTATGCGTGGTTAGATAGAAAGCAGTAGGAAAAGAGGAAGACCACAGGTACAAATGAATAGACTCAATCAAGAAAGCCATGGCCCACAAGACCTGAGCTGAGATAGTTGGGTGATTTTGGAGGCCTCTAATTCACAGGGTCACCTTAAGTTGAAATTGACAACAAATATGTATTTGTATGACATGCCAGTTATTTATTAATTTACTCTCTCTTCATACTAAGGATCTGAAACTGGTATACAATTTGCAACATTTAAATAACATTCTAATAAAAATAATTTACAAAAGTAAATCTCCCCTAATATGCCATAGCAACCATTCACATTTATTAATCAAATTCCAAAGGAAGTAGGTACAAGAAAATTATGACAGATTTGACTTGTTTCTGGTAAATAAAGTTAAATATAATGTTAAACATAGCTACTTGGATCAAGGTTAGTGCATATTGAGACCTCATTTTAATGCACACATATAAAAATGTTCCCCTCCATCCTTTGAGGGATTCTGATCTATTAAGGTTCAGGAAGGACTCCTTTTTTCCCAACCAGAAAGTAAAGCAGGAGTCATTATGGTCATCAGAGGGTGGGATGGCCAGGGGACAGTTCACCCACTTCCCATCTCTGACAGTTGCCCCCATCTGACTTTAAAGTATACTGAAGTGGGAGCAAGTCTTAAAGAAGTAAACGTTGAATTTCTGCCTAAGCCAACGATGATTAAAAATATTTTTGAAGGTACAGTTCTTTTGTGTGTTGGTTGTATTACAATGATGTCAGGAAGAAAAAAATTAAATAACCATAAAGATGTTCCCTCCAATAAAAATTGTTTCATGTTTTTATACATTTCTTATTATCAGTATGTATTAAGTTAGAACTTCTAAGTCCAACATTTTATCAGGGTTTTCCACACGGATTTCTGAGACCAGTTATATTGTTAATGTAACACAAGAAAACAAAAAATGATGTATTCTCTTATATTATCAGAGGATTCTATTTATTGTTTCAGGCCCACTTACCCAACAGAAGAGGTAGAAGAAGAAGCAATAACAGAGGATGATGCTGAACTGACTCTGAATAAAGTAGAAGAAATAATTGCGGTAAGTATATTTCATTTTCTGTTGACAGTTCATTTATCCAATCTTAGGAAAATCTATTTAATACATCTATTCAAAAGCGAGCCTTGCTTAAATTGTTCTTTTTTTTCTCTGTTTCTGTTTTTCATTTTATGTTTTTGACTGCCTGTATACCTGGATAACTCCTGATTATTGAGCAGGTTTAAAAGTGTAAATAAATAATATAGTCCAATTAAAAGATTTCAACCGTAATGTGGAACAAAGAAATGGTTTTGTACAGTGGGCTGCTGTGAGTTTTCTAGGCTGTATGGCCATGTTCCAGAAGTATTCTCTCCTGACATTGCGCCCACATCTATGGCAGGCTCAGAGGTAGAGGAATCTGTTGGAAACTAGGCAAGTGAGGTTTATATATCTGTGGAATGTCCAGAGTGGGAGAAAGAACTCTTGTCTGATTGAGGCAAGTGTGAATGTTGCAACCTGGTGATTTCGGCCATGAAAACCTTTGACAACATGGTTTTCTGCAATAGCTCCAATGTACCAGTAGTTGAAGATCCTCTTCTGCCTTAAAAGGCAGTGTAAAAATTATCTTGGATTATAGCTATATTCTGTGGCTGAATATTGTGGGCAGTAGCCATCCACAGAATGTAAAATAAGATTGTTGACCTCTTGGTAAGCAAATTGTCTTATTTTACATCACCACCACATAAAAATATCAGTTAGATCTCTATATGACAAAATGGTCTCTACCAAATCAGACACCATATGATCTAAGACATTAAAAATATGTTCAAGTTAAAAGATTTTTGCAAATTGAAACTAGCTAACTAAACAGGATAATTTTTCTCAGAATTTGACTTAACTGAAAGGTTTTCTCCCCCCCCCCCAACGCCCCCCCCCCAATAACTATGTTCAAAAGTATATCCCACCCTCCTGCAATAGCAGTCCAAAGTGGTCTTCTCTCTTCCATCTCCCAGTTGAAGTGTAGTCCCAGCTTTTATCACAAAATTTGTAGTGCAATACAACAGTAATTTTCAGTCTCTGGTCCTCCAGAAATTTTGGACTTCAGCTCCTAGAAAGCCCAGCAGTATGTCCACACATTCAGGAAATCTGGAGATAGCCCAAGGCTTTAGAAGACTAATTGGAAAAGCACTGCAGTACAACACTATGCAGTCAACTTTAAACTGACTTTTGCTTAGTCAGCTTTGAACCTGGATGAGGAAAATCATTACAACAATAGTTGTTAAAAATCTGGTTCAATTTGCCACAAATCCAAAGACTAGTAGAGTAGATACTTTGGTCCTGTGAGCAAATGTTAGATGATGAAAACAAAAACACTGACATAGCTGATAGCAATTCCTGTCAATGTGGCAGCAATTCACCAGCTGTCTTTATCATACCATTTTGCCGCCTGCTGCATTTGTTACCTCCCAGTTTCCCCGTTAGCTTGGCGTCTAGGATTATATGTGGATGTTTTAGCATGAATTGCACAAGTAGCAGTTTAATGTAAGAAAGAGCAAACCATCGTGGTAATGCTGCTAAAGGGCTGTAGGTTAAAAAAAAAAAAAGCACCCCTCTGTATAGTGCTCAATGTTGGCGCATAATAGAATTCTGTAATGCACTTTGGTAAAGATAAGTAAGTGGTGATATTTTCAGAACGCTGTTTCTGAACGATGGTCTTTTATGTTTTGCTAAACAATATTTTATATCTTTTTAAGGAAGAAGAGACAGACAATGAGGAAAACTACATTGATCTGAATGTTTTAAAGGCACAGACTTACAAATCGGTAAGTGATTTCTTCTTTAGTTACCACTTTACGATGCATCGTGTGTGGCTGATGCTTTTGCAGCCCACTCTATAACTTTACAAACTTGTGAAGGATCCACCAATAATCATGCTGTTTGTAAGGTTCAGGGAATGAAACAGGAAACACAGACCTGTGGTGGGGAGGAACAAAGGTGAAAGTTGGAGAAAAGTGTCACATATTTTTGGATGCAAAGCTGTCAATTATATGACTCGTGGGTGTGAACTGTTCATTGCAATGTAATGTTATTGTGTTAAGGATACCAATGGGGTTTCATTTAACCATGGTACTGGAATTAATCTGTGTATAATGAATTAATTCACAGTTAACTAAAATTCTTCTCTCTTTAAATGTATCAGGAAGACATTTGCATATTGCATACCTAACCACTAATCACATCCTCCATATGTTATCTCTTGACCAAAACTGTTGGTGTATATTTGAAGTAGTAACTAATTATCAGGAATTATTTCATGTTAATTGTCTATAGGCACTTTTTCATCCTTGGAGTTCTAAAGTACTAGCAGTTCACAATGATAGCTTACTCTCACTTGCATCTAGTAAAATACAGTTTTTCATTTTTTGGTAACACTTAATAGTATTGCTGTGAGCACACCTCACCTTCAGCAATTGTGCAGGTGCAGCAGGTTTTAGAACTTGTGCAAGGAGTGCTTGTGAGATGTGACATCACTGCATAGCACAATTGGATCACTCATTGATGTGTTTAATATAAACGTCTTGTCAGGACATGATTGAATCAAAGCAAGAAGAGATTTTAGAATCCACAGTAGATGCTGCTGAATGGAACCTTGAGGTGGAACGGGTTCTTCCACAACTGAAAGTTACAATCAGAACTGATAATAAGGTGGGTAAGGATTTACCAGTATTATTGTGCTGCTACTGTTCAGTAACAGTTTTTAGAAAATATTTTCTTTTGTACATGTGCTTAAAGGTCTAAACTGTAATCACTATATGACAAAATACTTTGAATAGTCAAATCTGAATTTGAGCTGCTTTTCTTCTGCAAAATATCACTCTTAAATGTGAAGTGTAATTAAAGCCACTTGACTGACATCAAAGCACTTAAAATAGATTAGTACTCGACAAATAAAGTACTTGTGCTCCAACATATAAACATGTTTGCACAGTTTTTAAATATAAGGATCTTAATGAAAGCAGTGCAGATGTATAAACAAATAGACTTTTGAGAGTTGTTAGGAAAAGCACATTAACTCCTTAAATTTCAAATGTTCTGATCTGTGTTGATTTAACCAGGCAGCAAGGTCAGTATGATATGAACAGTAAATCTAATCATAGCTGTATTTTTGTATCAGTTCAACTTGTGGACAGTTTGTCCTGTGGAAGACCTGGATGTTTAAAACATGTCTGGTCTTAGCCTGGCATCTGTTCATTTTTACACCAAATAGTTACTGCCTTGTGTTGTCAAAGGCTTCACTCACATCTATAATAGTAGGCATCCTCAGAGGTTGTGAGGTTTGTTGGAAACAGGACAAGTCAGGTTTACATATCTGTGAATGTCCAGAATGGGAGATAGAACTCTTGTCTGTTTGAAGCAAGTGTAAATGTTGCACTTGGCCACCTTGGTTAGCATCCAATGGCCTGGCTGCTTCCTGCATGGGGGAATACTTCGTTTGAGGTATTAGCTGACCCTGATCGTTTCCTGTCTGAAATACCCCTGTTTTTTGCAGCTAAGGAGGGATTGCTTCTGGAACATGGCCATACAGCCTGGAAAACTCACAGCAACCCAGTTCCTGCCTTGTGCATCTCAGTTTAGGAGACTCTTCTCATTCTTCTTTGCTTTATCTGCTGTTCAAAGTGGGCCTTCAGTTATTACATAGATACCTTTATAGTATATTTTGCGTCATAGGTTCAACTAAATTATGTGAACACACACACTTCGCTACTTGTGACTGTATTCTTTGTGCTTGCATAATTCTTGGTTGTATTTCTGCAAGTTTCCCTTTTTAGTATCCCATTTTCTTCTTACGCACAACACCTTTGGCTGTTCTGTTAGTATAATTAATTACTATTCGATTCCTATTGTCCTTTACTGTATTCTGTTTCACTTTGATCCCACTCCACAATAATGTAGTTGAGCAATAATTTGTGCTTGAGGCATGAACATTGTATTCCATCAGTGCATCTGAGGAAGTGGATTGTAATCCATGAACTCTTTTGCATTTGATCTTGAGGGGTTTTTTCTCTCTCTTGGCCATAACATTTTACTTTTTTTATGTATAATTGTCATTTGCTCCACTTCCTTATTATTGACTTCTGTTTTTCAATTTTCTTGTTATTTAATATTTCTTTTTTTTTTCATTCAATTCCTCCTACCCCATCTGTTGTTCTCTAAAGATTCCAATAGCTTTCAGCCTGCAAGATGTTGAGGCCTTGGAGTTATCTTCAGCTGCTTCCCTCTCATTTAGTGCATTGTCACATTGTCTCCTTTTCTTGAATATATCTAGAACATGACCTTGTTTCTCAGCATGCTTTTATTGCTGCCTTGGTTATCTCAGCTAAGGCAGACAAAATAACTGCAGATTGCTGTGGAGACCAGCATGCAGTAAAACCATCAGATTACTGCATGTTCTCAGAGTTCATATTTAAACCATCATGAAATTAGCAGAGTGGTTATTCCACGTTTTAAAGGCAGTGCTTGCTTTGTTATCTCCTCCATTCAGCTAACACAATTCATTCCCTTCAGCCTTTGCCCCCTCTATTCTTTCGCCTCTAGTTGATTCAGAACACCTTTGATAAAACCCTGTAGCTTTCCTATTGCTATAATTATACTTTTATCCTAAAGTCAGTGCTGAACCCTTTTCACTTCATGTTTCATATGTACTCCTTAGAGATATAGGTAGCTCTTACTATCAACATTTGGAGGGTCAAACCTGTTTTTTTGCCTGTGTTGTGTCATACTGGAATCTACCTTAGAGGGGTGTGAACATGACTGAATGCTTTTCTGTTTGGGAAAAACACTTAAAAAGATTTAGATATCTGGGAATACAGTTCTTCCATAGGGTTTGTTTTTTTCAGTTGAAGAGCCATAGCTCGTGGCAACTACAATTTGTCGAAACTCTCTTCTTATAACTATAATTTATTTCTATTCTTCTTCCCCCTTGCTGCTTTGTTTAGATACATCTAAAGTTGTTTAATAACAAGATCATTGGCCAGAATATAGAAAGCCTAGGTTAATGTTTCTATTGCATTAGGAATGTCACTAACATGCACGCTTTCTGCTATACCGAAGAATTACTCAGCTATAATACCGGGAGCCCCCCAGTGGTGTGGCGAGTTAAACTGCTGAGCTGCTGAATTTTTTGAACGAAAGGTCGGTGGTTCGAATCCAGGGAGCAGGGTGAGCTCCCACTGTTAGCCCCAGTGTCTGCCAACCTAGCAGTTCGAAAACATGCTAATGTGAATAGATCAATAGGTACTGCTTTGTTGGGAAGGTAACAGTGCTCCATGCAGTCATGCTGGCCACATGACCTTGGAGACGTCTATGGACAACGCAGGCTCTTCGGCTTAGAAAAATGGAGATGAGCACTAGACTAGACTTAATATCAAGGGGGAACCTTTGCCTTCTTAATACCACTTTGCAGCTACAAAAGGTGCAGGATGCAAGTATAGCAAAATGGGAGTGGTATCCAATTGGCATCTTTCCTTGATAGACCGGTAAGTGTGATCAGAACTGATTCTTCCTTCAGCAACCCCTCTCATTCCTGAAATCCCACTTCAAATGGGGAGAGGGGCAAGAAGGACTGCAGAGGGGAGGAACAGAGGCAATATTTCTATTGAACACAGAAGTCTTCCCACACAGCATTGAATAGTGCTAATTAATTTAAAGCCTCTTTTTTCATTACTTCTTCTGTTAACTATTACATTTGGATATGTTCCCTATAGGCTTGACTCATTTGGTTACTTTTAGCTTGTCAGTGTAAAGCTTTTTTTTTTCATATCTGAAAAAAGCCTTTGTTACAGCAAATTTTTGAATTTTTAAAAAAGCTTCCAGATACGGGAAATCCATCAGCCCTTAATTTTTGGATTCTGCAGAATAGAGAACAAAAGTTCTTGGAAAAAAGTTTCTAAGGTGATGGTTAAAAAAAAGTACAACTATATGAACCGGAATGTATAACCTTGTGGATTTTCATAAAAGCTCTGTTGACTGGCTATGAAAAACAACATTATATCATTTAGGACAATCTTGTCATGTGTTGTCAAAGGCTTTCATGGCTGGAATCACTGGGTTGCTGTGAGTTTTCCAGGTTATATGGCCATGTTCCAGAAGCATTTTCTCCTAACATTTTGCTCACATCTGTGGCAGGCAGCCTCTGAGGTTGTATGGTCTGTTGGAAACTAGGCAAGTGGGGTTTATATATCAGTGGAATGTCCAAGCACTCTTGTCTGTTTGAGGCAAGTGTGAATGTTGCAATTGACAACCTTGATTAGCATTGAATAGCCTTGCAGCTTCAAAGCCTGGCTGATTGCGGCCTGGGGAATCCTTTGTTGGGAGGTGTTAGCTGGCCCTGATTGTTTCTTATGTGAAATTCCCCTGTTTTCTGAGTGTTGTTCTTCATTTGCTGTCCTGAGTTTAGAGTTTATAATTACTGGTAGCCAGATTTTGTTCATTTTCATGGTTTCCAATCTTACGATGTATATTGAACAGGAATAATCCAGATAGCAAGGAATTAACATAAAATTAAGTGTGAATACTCACTAGTAATGAAAATCTCTCAATCTCTCTCTCCCCCCCCCCCCCCAACCATTTAGTACCAGGACAGGAAGGAATGTTTTGTCAGTTCTTTCGGGCTCTTTTGTTCAGAAATCTATGTGCTTTTCCTAATTGCCTTGAAAAATTTAGAAAACTGCTTTCTGTTCTCTGTGCTTTCTTTTCCAAATTTGAACCTCATGGGCCATCCATTCTCACCCTCTTAATCAAACAGAAATCACAACTATATCACCTTCTTTAGACTGTTAATCCCGGTGTGTTCTTTTCCTTTCTTAGACTGTCACAAAATAAATCATTGCAATTATTAGTGCTCAAAGTGCGTTAGATGTTGTCAGTGCTAAACTTGAAATGGAATATAGTGTTAGCAGTAGCAAGCATAGATATTTTGATTAATTAGTAGACGAGTTCACATCCTGTTTTATGTTCTAGAAGAGAAGTGAATTAGAATCAATATTAGTGCCTGGAGCAGTCTGTTATAATTATTTCTGGCGCAAGAGTACTTACAAGCAAATAACCAATTGCAAACATCCATGGCAGCGATGTCCAGCATTTCATTTCAGAGCACAGATGTGTCACAGGATTTTAGATTATATCATTTTAGTAAAACAAGCTTAGAATTAAAACATGTCACCTTCTGTAGATATGCTGTAAACATGTCCGTGTTCACTCAGGTATGAAATAAGCCACCACTTTGTCTGTACCTCCCTTTTAAAATTTAAATTATAGGACTGGCGAATCCATGTAGATCAAATGCATCAACATCAAGATGGAATTGAATCAGCTTTAAAAGATACCAGGGTAAGTCTGTGATATGTTTAAATAATTGAAACGTAGTTGATTTCATGGTAGTTCGGCATATTCTTGCTAGAAGCCTTTCTCACTGTATCTTCCCTCTTAAGTGCATGTGAATTACTTGCTTCCAAATCTCCAGGCACCATATGGTGTGCTTATTTCTGTCCTCTATACGGAGGTAATAATGGCCTCCTGTTCCGTGTGGCAGGATTGTTCAAGTTCCGTGCCACTAGCCTTCCACAAGAATTTCTTAGAACTACACCCATCACACCCCCAAGTCATTTCTAATGGCCGTCTTGTTTTCTTTTAAACTATGGTTTCTTTGCTCCTCACACTCCTTTTATACAGTAGAAGTTTGGGAAAAACTCCTAGAAGTCACTGAGCACAGAGATCAAAGCTTCACATGGAAGCATTGTTTACAAAGATGTTTCTTTGCTGATCTCAATCCCCTTTTACCTTTTGAGAAAAGAATTCTAGCTAGTTATGGTGAACTGTTCCAGGCTTCAAACATGAAGACAGCCACATGCCAGGATTGCAGAATGCTTTTCGATATCCAGAGGACTGGTGCCTCATCATACATGCTTTACGAATCTATAGCATTGAGCCGTTACAGTTAAAGTGGCGTCAAACCACATTAATTCTACAGTATAGATTCATCCTAAGCAAAGATGGAACTTGAGTTGAACAGATAGGTCAGTGATTTACCGTATATACTCGAAGATAAGCTGAGTTTTTTCAGACCTTTTTATGGGCTGAAAAAGCCTCCTTCAGCTTATAATGGGGTCAAGCTAGGCAGCAGAGCCTGGAGGCCATTGTTTGCAATATATGATACATTACTCTCTCATCTTCCCCTCCCTAAACAGTGTTTTTTCTTTTCTGTTTCTGCTCTGCTTCGCTTCCCAGACTGGAATGTTCTGAAAAGGGAAAGGAGGGAGAGAGAAGCCCTTGCAAGTCAGGAATATCCAGTAATCTTATAAAATTATTTTCCCCTGAAATATTTGTCAATCTCTCCTACAGATATATAGGGATTTCCCCTGCAAGCCTTTGTAACCCCTATGTACCTATATATCTGTATCTATTTATATACAGTACATTAATTTTATATATGAATTTCCCCTCATGTTTGCAGGTTTTTGCACACCCTATATACTTATAGATATCTAGAGATTTGAATGTACCTGTATACAGTGGGGGAATTTAGTCAGATACCAATTGTACAAATTCTCCCACTTAAAAAGAGAAGAGAGGCCTGTAATTGACATCATAGGCAGACCTCAACTATGAGAGGCAACATTAGAAAACACATCCAGAAAATCACATTGTCTGATTTTTAATTAATTTATTTGCAAATTATGGTGGAAAATAAGTATTTGGTCCATAACAAAAGTTCATCTCAATACTTTGTTATATATCCTTTATTGGCAATGACAGAGGTCAAACGTTTTCTGTAAGTCCTCGCAAAGTTGGCACACAATGTTGCTGGTATGTTGTCCCATTCCTCCATGCAGATCTCCTCAAGAACAGTTATTTTCTCCGCGTGGTCAGCGCAGGAAGTACCAAATCACACATTTGGTACTTCCTGCGCTCGCGCAGGCAGCAACGGACACTCTCAAGCTCACTCCAACCGTCCGTTAGAGCAGCCAGTGATGTTTTGGGGCTGTCGCTGGGCAACACGTACTTGCAACTCCCTTCAAAGGTTTTCTATAGGGTTGAGATCTAGAGACTAGTTAGGCCACTCCAGGACCTTGAAATGCTTCTTACGAAGCCACTCCTTCATTGCCCTAGTGGTGTGTTTGGGATCGCTGTCATCCTGAAAGACCCAGCCACATTTCATCTTCAATGGCCTTGCTGATGGAAGGAGGTTTGCACTTAAAATCTCACGATACATAGCCCCATTCATTCTTTCATGTATACGGTTCAGTCGCCCTGGTCCCTTTGCAGAGAAACAGCCCTAAAGCATGATGTTACCACCCCCATGCTTCAAAGTAGGTATGGTGTTTTTTTGGATGCAATTCAGCATTCTTTCTCCTCCAAACACAATGAGTTGTGTTTCTGTCAAACAGTTCTACTTTGGTTTCATCTGACCATATGACATTCTCCCAATACCCTTCTCGATCATCCAAATGCTCTCTAGCAAACTTCATTCGGCCCCAGACATGTACTGGCTTAAGCAGGGGGACACGTCTGGCACTGCAGGATCTGAGTCTCTGGAGGCATAGTGTGTTACTGATGGTAGTCTTTGTTACGTTGATCGCAGCTCAGTAGGTTCCCCCGTGTGGTTCTGGGATTTTTGCTCACCGTTCTTGTGATCATTTTGACCCCACGGGATGAGAACTTACATGGAGCCCCAGATCAAGGGAGATTATCAGTGGTCTTGTATCTCTTCCATGTACTAATTATTGCTCCCACAATTGATTTCTTCACACCAAGCTGCTTGCCTATTGCAGATTCAGTCTTCCCAGTCTGGTGCAGGGTGACAATTTTGTTTTTGGTGTCCTTCGACAGCTCTTTGGCCTTCACCATACTGGAGTTTGGAGTGTGACTGCTTGAGGTTGTGGCCAGATGTCTTTTATACTGATAACAAGTTCAAATAGGTGCCATTACTACAGGTAATGAGTGGAGGACAGAGGAGCCTCTTCAAGAAGAAGTTACAGGTCTGTGAGACCCAGAAACCTTGCTTGTTTGTAGATGACCAAATATTTTTTTTCCACCATAATTTGCAAATAAATTAATTAAAAATCAGATAATGTGATGTTCTGGATGTGTTTTCTCGTGTTGTCTCTCATAGTTGAGGTCTACCTATGATGTCAATCAAAGGCCTCTCTCATCTTTTTCAGTGGGAGAACTTGTGCAATTGGTATCTGACTAAATACTTCCCCCCCACTGTATCTGTATCTTCCGGTTAAGATGGCGGCAGGCTAGCAGCAGCTTTTTCACTCGGAGGAGAGGAGAACCTGAATCCGAGGTAAATCGGGTCCATCTACCCTCATCCGGACCCCTTTCAGCTGCTCCTCGAACGGTGACACCCCAGGACCTCGAAGGGGGCCTTGGGGGTTGACGGGACAGGAGCACAGAGCGGATTGTAAAAGAGGGAGAAGGTAGAGCGCAGGCCGCCATTACTACTACCACACCGGCCTGAGAACGCTCCCTTCCAAAGGCTTCGGACTGAGGGTCCTCCCCAAATTCCCAAATTACCAACTGCTGACCGGCCACGATGGCTACTACGGTCCTCGAAGGCATCCGGTGGCGAGCGTGGACTTTCGGACCTTTGGCTGCCTGCCCCCCAGGTTCGTTCGGGCGATCTAACAGCTGTCCGCAGGGTGCCGGAGCAAACTTACCAGAACACGCGGTGAGTGCCGCTGGGGAGCAGCTGGACCTTGGAGACGAGCGGGCTGCTCTCGCTGGGTCGCCGTCTGCTTGGCGTGCCCCTCGGCGGCGTTGCTTCCGCGTGGAGCAGCCGCGCGGCCGAGTTGTGCTTCCTGCGCGTCGGCTGGGGGTGGCCTCTGCACCCAGCGTTTTTTCCATTCCTTGCCCGCGCCCGGAGGGGGCTCCGGAGCGGCCCGGTGGGATTCCACAAGCACCGGTGTGGTAGCTCTTCGGGGCCTCTAGGCGGCGCTACCTTGTGTTCCACCTTGAAACGAAGGCCCGGAAGTGATCTAGTTGACCGAGCTGAAGGTGACCAGCGCAACTTGGGTGACGTCACTTCCGCGCTCCCGAGAATTACAACATCTGTTTTTGCAAACAGCGAGGCCTTAAAGAACGGTGTGGCGGGAATGGTGTGGCGGGAATCCCCCTGTATCCTCCTGCTTCCTTGCTGCGGTGCTAATATAACAGACTAATTCGGAGCGTAGCAGTCGCTCCCTGCGACCTTCATTTCGGCAGTGACTCACCATCGAAGGACATCTCCACCGGTGGCCACGAGGCCATGAGGCCATCGCTTAGCTGGCCAGAATCAGCTGCTGTTAGACAGTTACCATCATCCGCCTTCTTTGGAATATTATTTTACCGTCATCGTTTATTTATTGCCTCTATCCCGGAAGAACGTGACCAACTAATATCATAATATCAACTGTATCAGATTCTACTGTCTTATAGTCCTGATAAGATCCCTATCCTTGACCTTACCCTGTCTGTTGTTTTGGAGGATGGGGGAAGGAGGGTTATACTAGATGTATGTGTCTATATAAGAACTGAGCCGTCTACCCAACTGTTGTGAATCCCCCATCTTATTGCACTAT